ACACACACACACACACACACACACACACACACACACTTTGGATGAGTAATCACTTCATCCAAATTGTAAATTGTTGCCTTCTTTAAAGTTATTAGTAATTCAAGATTAATTATTAAATTAAATTAGGTACATAACATATAATAAACAAAATAACTTTGACTTGATCATTTTGTTCACAACATTAGACCTTGTCCTCTAATCTCTACTAGAATAAGATAAGTGTGCATGTTTGGGTGTGGAACACTCCTGTGATGTACCTAATCTTCTTATCCTTTTCATTACAGAGCTGGGGAAATGGTGTATTGCTTAGATTCGGATCCGTGCAAAGTCCAATTATGACTGACTTTAGTTCTAATGTTAATTTGATTTCAACCCATAAGTAATTATTTAGATTAACTCAACATTTCACATGATGGATTAGTGCTCCACATTTTTCCCACTAATTTGTTGTGCAATTAGGCCAATGGTAAAGAGAGACATTGATGACCTTGTGTCCCTTTTGTTGGTACGTGGTTCCATTCTGTCTATGGCCTTGGACGGCTTCACTAACAATCACCCAGTTCTGACACAGTTCTGAGTGCAGAGTACAGAGATGCTATGGCTGCTCTACATGAAATGACATTAATGGTCTGGTCTGAGAATGGACACCATTCCCTGCTTCCAGAGACAATGCCGCTCCTCAAACTGAACAATACTGTCTCACGTGGGCCACTCCCCCCACCAAGCCATGAACTGAAAGCTTGACATCTGCTTTGAACACCTGGAAGCCTCCCGGTCACACCAGCACCAACCCTTGGGTCAGTCAGATGGGACTAACGGCTTAACTTAGGGCATTTGGTTCAGAAATATGACTCTCGTTACCGCAGAGTGGGTTGTTTTTTTAAGGCTATTCATACTGCTATGCAGAGGATGCCTGTAGGTTGGCAAGCTGTTAAAAGCCCCTACTATTTTTAAAATAGGCCTAATGTCAGGAGCCTCTTAATGTCTAGTTCTACATGTATTCACATTATATGGACAATGTTTCCACCTGGTGAAACTGAAGGCTGCACGGTACTCAGGCTACAATACGACCATTCTGTTCTGCTCTAACAATTCAATTGATAGATTCTACATCAAAACAATTAGCTTTTATTGTTTCCAATGATAACGTCATTTTAAGAGAAGGAATGCAAACCTGTTTTCAAATGTAAGGTTTTGAATGTGTTTGACATTTCTCAGTAAAAACACCCTCAGACACCCACTATCATTTATGCTATGCCTTCAGTAGTGACTCAGATGTTAGGGGGAAGAAGCTTTTCCTCCCAAATCAGATATGCTTTGTTTTTCAACAAAGGTATACAGTTCCTGCATAATATATGTTTCTCACAATTGTTTTTTTTGTAAGCTGCACACAGATGATACTGAGTCTTCTCGATTAATAGATTACACCATGCTTAAATAGACTCCTAAGTTATTATTTCATATGAGACATATGTAAGAAAAGGGAGGGAAGAGTCAATTATATTGAGTAATTGATTTTATATTGGAACATTTATTTCTCAAACCTGTTTTATGGAAGAGGAAAATATTTCTGATAAACTAATATGTTATCAAACGGTAAATGGTGAATTAATATAACATTTAGAATCATTGAGAAGGGGTGATATCCGCAGGGACTAGCTCACCTTTAAATTACAATAACATTTCTCTACTTTGGACTGATGAGTTTATGATTCTTGCATGTTAAATGACTAACACAAACCTTACATTTATGCATGTGCATGTCTCAGGAAGGCTCCCAAATAATTCTGAGGGGCCTATCCTATTTTTGTATTTAAATGATAATGTGCTAATCCATTACCTTGAGTTGTCTGCACTCAGGAAAACATCCCTATCAAGTGTTAACCCAATAACTACAGTAGGACAGCTCTGAAGGCCAAGGGTCAGAGAGAGAGCTACGTGGGTCCACGCCAGCCACTGCAAGGTCCTAGTCACCAACAAAAGTAGATGACAACAAGTGATGTGTCCTAATCACCAACAAAAGTAGATGACAACAAGTGATGTGTCCTAATCACCAACTTGCACCACACTTGCACTACATACACCAAAACACACTACACACAAGGTATCACAAGCAAGTGCCAGCTGAGCGGTTCCATATGCTCTCTGGTTCCTCGTTTGTGTTACCGGTGTGCGGAGTCTGACTGTCCGTGTCACAAAATCGACCGAAGGAATACACACACACACCCCATGGAGCATTCCCACCTCGTGATGACGGCTCGCTTGGGAAAACGACAACGCAACCGTGAGCAATACAACTGGCCTGGCCCAGTGATGTGGGGTTTAGCTCGCCACAAGATTACGTTTGGTTGTGCGGCGACAAGCTCTATCAAGTTCTGGCTCCCCTCTGGATAGGTACATGCACTCTAGTGGATTTGAATCCAGCAATCAGGCTTAACAACACTACTCTTTAATGTATTATCCATGCATAGAAAGACCTACAATGATGTTTCAAGTACTGGATTAATTTCAGTTTTGGCCCAAAACAAATATTTATAATATTTCATATAACAATTATGTATCATATTTGATCCTCAAATTAGAGAAGTATAATTTAAAGAAATTGATATTCTCAACATTAGATAAACACAGAAGAATCCTTTCCAAGTAAGTAGCTCAGGTAAGTATGGCTAATAGGAATACTTGATAGACTTAATTTGGTACAGATCAGTGGTAGCATTTACAAATGTAATAATTCAAGGTTTAAAAATGTTTAATCCTTCCTTTCCAGGTTTTTACAAACGTCTTTGAATATTTGCCTAACTTTTCCTTTTCAGATTTTGAACAATGTACTTGACTAAAATGAATGTATTGATTTCACTAAGTGCCTTACTCTTGACTAAAGCGTATTTAAGTAAACGTAAAAGTAATCCTAAAATTGAGGACACTGCACTTTTGCAGATTACAGATTGATCAAATCACCAGTGTGAATTCTATACTCTGACTGTGAATGTTTAGCTGGATCTCTTAAGATCCTGAGTTTTAAAATGCTTTTGACTAGTGATTGCCTTGAAGTAAATCTTTAAAGCGGCAAGCTGGTTTTGATTTTATAGTTTGATGAATGAAATTAACTAATGGTAAATGATAAAATATATTAGTTTAAAAACAAATATTTAGCCATTGTGCACCTGTGTTTTATGTGTGTTCATTATTATGCTTTTGACAAAAGATGATCAAACACTGATGAGAGATGATTTTTCCTATTATGATTGGCTGTATCAATCATTGTGATTGAATGTTTCAATCTTAATGTGATTGTTATTGATGTAATTGATGTTGTGTAAGTCCACACTCAAATCTGAAGATTCCCATTGATTTAAGTATTGAACTAAATATTATTAGACTAAGGGTTTTAGATTATCAAAATTGATAAAAAGAAAGAAACTTTAGATTATCAAAATTGATAAAAAGAAGAACTTTAGATTATCAAAATTGATAAAAAGGAAGAAACTGTTGTGGAAATATTTTCCAAGGCCCATAACTTTGACCCAGTGTATCAGTTCAAACTGTCCTGACTGAGCACAGGCACCTGTAACCTTGGCTGCTGTGCTCTCAGTGTTTTGTCTCCCTGTTCCTGCCTGTTGGCGTCAGCTGATAGAGGTGTTATCATTCTATCTTGTTATGCAGCATGTTGATGATGCTCTCTGAACTAGCTAAATACATGGGTCTGGGGTAGAGTTCTTCAGAATTGACGTGGCAACTCTGAATCCTCCGGCCGTTAACTCATAATAATAAACCATCATGTGTCAATAATAAACCATCATGTGTTTGACATCAAAGCTACTGCTCTTCCCGTGTCTCCTTCCTGAGTCGGTGACTCCCACTGCATAGCTACACAGAAGTTTCCTCTACAGAGTCGATATTTTTCTAAGACCATTGCTTCACATAATAAAATACACAACGGCTTATGCTTTAGGAGCTGTAGGTGTGTGTGGTACAGTGTGTAGGTATGTGTGTGGTACAGTGTGTAGGTGTGTGTTGTACTGTGCGTAAATGCGGCGGACAGACGGGTCTCAGTTGGTTTGGTGTCCTCTGCTTACTTTTATTACTTGTAAATACAACTTTTGGCCCGTAATTTCAATTCCCCATTTCAGCGACCAGAGAGAGGGGGGGATATATCCAGTCTCTGATTGTGTTACGTTATTATGAGAGTGCTCTCATACTTTAAATTGTATATATTTATATAAATATATTTGTGTGTGTGTGTCCGCATCTGTAGCCTGTTATTGTCTCATTATACCGCACTCCCCTGCTGAAAAAAACAGCTTAGACCAACAAGGCTGGTCTGGCTGGTCAGGCTGGTAAACCAGCCAGACAATATTAGGCTGGATTAGTTAGTTGGTTAGAGGGGTTTTGGACACTTTAGCTGGTCAGGATAGCTGGTTTGGTCACAGTGGTCTAGCTGGTCACCATTAGCTGGTCGGGATAGCTGGTTTAGCTGGTAAAAGCTGGTGGTCACAGTGGTCTAGCTGGTCACCATTAGCTGGTTTGGTCACAGTGGTATAGCTGGTCAGGATAGCTGGTTTGGTCACAGTGGTCTAGCTGGTTTGGTCACAGTGGTCTAGCTGGTCACCATTAGCTGGTCGGGATAGCTGGTAAAAGCTGGTGGTCACAGTAGTCTAGCTGGTCACCATTAGCTGGTTTGGTCACAGTGGTCTAGCTGGTTTGGTCACAGTGGTCTAGCTGGTCACCATTAGCTGGTCGGGATAGCTGGTAAAAGCTGGTGGTCACAGTAGTCTAGCTGGTCACCATTAGCTGGTCGGGATAGCTGGTTTAGCTGGTAAAAGCTGGTGGTCACAGTGGTCTAGCTAGTCACCATTAGCTGGTCAGACTGGTATGATCTTGAGTAGAACTTTAACTGGGATTAAATGGTGGTTAAGCTGGTCATATATGATGATGAAACACTCTCACCCAATTGCAGTAGCTCAATGAACATCTATCATTTCAGATCAGAGCACCTACCTTACCAGAAAGGTATACCAGAATGTATAGAATGTATTGTCTGTAAATAAATACTCATACATCAAATGATTAGAAGCAGGAACATCATTTATAACACACAACATGAACATTAATACAAATTGGAAAACATCAAACACCCATTCCTTCAGATTTTTATTTCAACTGTTTCTTCCCCTTTTTCAAGAGGTCCTGTATTTTTTGCGAAATTAAGTAACCGGACAACTTCTCCCTCTTCTCCCTCTCGGTCTTCTCCATGTTTTGCTTGATCAGCCATCCTCTGAAGCACTCTTGAAAAGAGAAAGGAAACTTTTAGCTTTGTGTTATGATTACTTAAATATGTGCACTCTGAGATGAAAAAGAAAAATGTATCAAATTTAGTTTTGAACATTCACTGTGATTGGGTCTATTATCCACGCAATACACCGTATTTAATTTTTTTCTTAATTTACATTATTTAATTTCATATTCTGTTCTTGTAAATATCATATTCTATTATATTACATGTATATAAACTTTTTGCACACATTTTTATTTTGTATTGACTGTCCTCAAAGGTCACATGATTATTATGGGATTAGTTTTGTTTCATAAAGATAAAGCAACACTTTCTCCGAATCAAGCAGAACTAAGAGTCTTTTTTCTTTGTTTTAACATCTTTTATCTCTAGTTCTCTTTGCTTCTTTCTCAATGATCAGACTTTTGCTCTCGCTGCAGCTTTCTCATTTTTTGTTTTCTATAGAGAGGTGAAGTCCCTCCCTTTCCTCCATGGGACCTTATTTTGGAAAAATTATGTATTGAAGTCAATGGGGAGAGAAAGATTATCTTTTGATCCCGTTTGAATTGTGCCACGAATTACACATATGATGTTTGTCAATTTAAAAGATAATTTTGCAAGTAAAAAAAATAAAAATGTGTCGTAAAACCGCTCAATGACGTCACGTTGGAACATTTCACTTATTTCTTTCAGAATGAGGCGGAAAGTATTAAAAGAGGTGAAAATCACTCCAAGTCTGGGCATGTTGAGAGCTGTGCATACACACAAGGGGAGTTAGTCGGTTCCAGAGCCTGCATGCGGGACCGGGACTCTGGGATTTGTAGTCTTTCTAGTTGCGTAATTTTCATAGTCTTATATTTCAACAGTTTTACGACAAACTGTGACTTTTTTGACATGAAAATTATTTTTTAAGATTAACAAACATCATATGTGTAATTCGTGGCACAATTCAAACGGGATCGAAAAATAATCTTTCTCTCACCATTGACTTCAATACATACTTTTTCCGAAATAAGGTCCCAGGGAGTAGATGGGCGTGACTTCGCCTCTCTATTCTGACACAAACCTCCCAGGTAGGCGGGACTTTCAGGGGTGCGTCCCCATTGGCTACTCAGTTTTTGAGTGACAGCCCAGTCCTCCAGTGATTGTACAATGCAGGCAGCTGCGGTGCGGTAGCTGAGCGTGGACAGAAGACCCCCAGAAGAACCAGCATTTCAATTATTATAATACTACAAGTGAAAATATATGTAAGTATTGATCATTTGTGTTGTTTGTGCTGTACTATACGGTCTGTTTCTTCATTGTTTTAGTTAAGTGAGAAGTAAAGAAAAGCTGTGTTATGAAAGTTAGCTTTTTTATTTTATTTATTTATTTATCCTTTATTTATCCAGGAATGTCCCATTGAGATACAAGATCTCTTCTTCCAGGGAGTCCTGACCAACACAGCACACAACAAGTTTCAACATAAAACAAGGACATTAAACAAAAAACATACAATTCAAATATAAATACAGAAGGCCATTTGTGCAGTGGCAAGAAGCATAATCACATCAGCAATAGCATCAGGTAAAACAGTTACATGTTTCATGAAGGGCTAATCGTAGCATACCTTTAAAAGCATTTACAGTAGGAAGTGCCTCTAGACAAAGTTTTACTTGCAGCGTATTCCATAAAAAGGGAGCATAGTGGGAGAATGCAGCTTTACCAAGCTCTGACTGCATCAAAGGAACATTTAAAAGCATCCCATTTGCTGCTCGTCTGGTATTAAAAAAGCAAGTATAAAAGGACAGAAGTCTGGAGATATATAAGGGCAGCTTACCTAGCAATGACTTAAGGATACAAATCAACATGTGTGATTGTCTTCTTTGGTACAGAGAGGACCATCCTAGGGACTGATACAAAGTGCAGTGGTGGGTGCGAGAGCCTGCACCCGTTACAAAACGTATAGCAGTATGGTACGCAGAATCCAGCTTTTTAAGCAGGGAGGAAGGAGCATGCATATAGATTACATCGCCATAGTCTAATACAGACAGAAAGGAACTCTGCACAATTCTCTTCCTGGCTTCAGACGGGAAACATTTCTTTAAACGGAAGAAAAAGCCCAGTTTAGGTCTAAGTTTTCTCAGTAGGTTCCCAATATGAACATCAAAGGCCATCTTTTCATCAATCCATATGCCCAGATATTTGTAGGATGCTACTTTGTCAAGGCATGTCCCTTCCAGTGACAGAATCGGAGGGACAGCTGTATTAGCTCGAGAGCGAGAGAAGGTCATGTACTTGGTCTTTTTTGCATTAAGGACCAGTCTTAGCCTTAGCAAGGAGTGTTGCAGTGTATTAAAAGCATCCTGTAGAAGCTCTATGGCCTGAGTCAAAGAGGAAGCCACTGTGTAAACAACTGTATCATCGGCGTATAAATGAAACCGTGCTGGGTTTATCCCATTTCCTAGTTCATTTATAAAGATGGAGAATAAGACAGGGGCCAAAATAGAACCTTGTGGAACACCTTTGTTTACAGTAAGAGCAGCTGAGGTATAATCTTCTACTGAGACACACTGAGTTCTTTCAGATAGATAGTTTTTAAACCAGCTCAAAGCCATTTTGCCAAGACCTATGCAGCCAAGCCTCTGCAGTGGCAATGCATGATCCACAGAATCAAAAGCTTTAGACAGATCAACAAACAATGCTGCACAGTGTTTTTTCTTGTCTAGTGCTTCAATTATGTAATTTGAGACTAGCATAGCCGCTGAAGTAGTACTATGGCCTGATCTGAAGCCTGACTGAGACTCGTTAAGAATATTATGGTCAGTTAGAAACTTTTTCAGTTGTTCGTTTACAAGAGATTCAAAGACTTTGGCCATTACAGACAGTCTGGAAATAGGGCGATAATTATTTAGGTCAGAGGGGTCTCCGCCCTTTAACAAGGGGAGAACCATGGCCGACTTCCATGAGCTAGGCAATTCACCAGCACAAAGACTGAGATTCACAATAGAGGTTATGGGTTCTGCAATCAGTGCAGCAACTTTGAAGAAGAACGGCTCTATCTTGTCTGGGCCTGAAGATTTCTTTACATCTAGGCTCATTAAAGCTTTGTGAACCTGAGAGGTCAAGATGGGGGCAAAGGTGAACAGTTGATCAGGGTCAAGTGGCGGAGGACCTGGCTCTCCTTCTGCAGCGATCATCCCTGAGTTGCTAGAATCAAAGATTGAGCCAGCAGAAATAAAATAATTATTAAAGCTGTCTGCAATATCCATTTTGCCCTTGATTTCACTCTGAGTTACCCTTAAGAGATCAGGAAGGCTGTTTGGAGTGATAGAACCTGAGGAGGATTTAACAAGTTTCCAAAACTTTGCAGGGTTATTCAAATTGTCATGTATTGCATTAAGATAGTAGGCACATTTAGAGTCTTTAATCAGCTTAGTGCATTTGTTTCTTAATGTCCTATACAGATTCCAATCTAATGGAATATTTGATTTCTTTGCTTTAGCCCAGGCAGTGTCTCTCTGTCGAATGAGAGAGGATATAGAATCATTAAACCAGGGGTTGTCTTTACCGCTTATCCTAGATGTCCTAAAAGGAGCATGCTTGTCACATATAGCCAAGAAGGTGGATTTAAAATAATTCCATGCTAACTCAACATCGGTCATAAGTGAAACAATGTGTAAATCACTATTAAAAACATCATGTAGAAACGCCTGCTCATCGAAATGTTTGAGTCGCCTCTTGTGAATGAAACGTGGCTTTCCTTTAGGGATCTTACAGGTTCTCACACAAGCAATTGCGCAGTGGTCGCTTATATCATTACAAAACGTGCCTACTGCGGAGAAACGGTGAGGTGCGTTTGTAAGAATAACATCAATCAAAGTGGACTTCTCTAAATCCTTTTGGTTTAACCGAGTTGGCGAGTTAACTAGTTGCACCAAACAGAGTGAGTCACAAGTGTCCTTGAAGGAGTTTTGTAAATCCGTTTGCCAGTCCCAGTTTAGGTCTCCGAGTAAAACCATCTCGGATTTAGTCCAGTTATGGAGAAGATATATTCGTGGCTTTGCTTGAGGCAGCGGGCGGGCGGTAGCATCCGACCACTATAATGTCTGAACCACTTGGGAGCGATAGTTTAATTACAGAGAGTTCAAAGCATTTTGGTTTTGTTAGGGATTCGATGCAGGTGCAGTCTAAATGGTTTTTAACATAAATCGCAACCCCGCCCCCTTTTCCCACACGGTCTGTTCTAAAGACATTGTAATCTTTTATATTTATCATATCATTTGTAATCGACTTTTTGAGCCACGTCTCAGAAAGGACAATGATATCAGAGTCAGTCGAATCGGCCCATATTCTGATGGAGTCCATTTTATTAATCATGCTGCGAACATTAAGGTGAAAAAGACGTAATCCGTCTTTCGTTCTAAACTCCTCTGGCGTTTGCAGCTGAGACAGTTCTGGGCCTGGATTCGGTTTCACGTTACCCGACATCAGGAGTAGGAGAATTAGAAGCCAGGTCCTCCTCGCTGGGCTGGTCGGCTTGCCGTCGCAAGTGCGCGCTGCATAGGGGGAAAGTCTCCCATTTCCCTGGGCCCATAGACAGCGTAGTCCTCGCGGCAGAACCCCGGGTAGATGAGACGTCCTCCGCGAGCAGCGGGGTTGTCATCATGGCAAAAACTCTTACTGAATCCGGGGAAGCCATGATGCCTGGGGTAGGCCACACATCAAGCGCAGGTGTGTCTTGTGGGTGTTCAGCGTCGGGAGCGACACCGGTCCCGGAGATCCCCAGCACCAGGTAGCCGACCAGGTAGAATAGCAGGGGAGGTAGCCACATCATCATGGGTGAGCGGCAGTGAAGAAGATGGCTCATCAGAACCTGAAGGCTTCGACTCTTCACTTTTCTTTCCAAAGATTCCTGTTTTCAGGCAGCGTCGGAAATTAACCAAATTCCTGCCGCTCTTCCCATAACGGACGCGGTTTACACGCAGACGCTCTGTTATTCTGATGCAAACTTTGCTAACTTTAGATCCATAACAATGCAAGCTAGTAGCCTAATAGCAGGAACAGTTAGCTACATAGCTAGCAGTGAGCGTTCAGAGTTCAGACACCGGCGCACACACTCAAATGGACTCGTGTGCCTGACTCTACCAACATGCTTTCATGATTCTGTTTAGATATGCAAGTATAAGCCATGATAGCTTATTTTATTAACACACTAATTTTATATGAAAATCAATGGAGGAAAGTGTTGCTTTATCATTATGAAACAAAACTAATCCCATAGTTTATGATCCGCCTGAGACAGCAGATTGTTATAACTTACTCGACCACTTTTGAAAACTTTAAAACGTGTCTGTGGGTTGTAATAAGCTGCTTGACTTTTGGAAGATGACAGGCTCTAACGGGCGAGCGGAGCGATCAATTACATTGCAAAAGTCTTCATCACCTGTCTGTCTTGAATGTTTGTAGTATTTAATTTGTTAGTTTAAGATGACATTCAGTGTACGTGTCACATACCTTTTACGGTCCCAAGCTTGCATGGGGTTAAGGGAGGCTTTGCTTCGGTCGTTTTGCTCGGGCAGTCCTTTCCAGACACACTTCTTCCCATTAACTCTGCTGTACCCCATATGGCTACAGCCAACTCCTTCACAAAGAGCGAGTCCTTTGTTGTGGAATCAATTTTTCTCCACACCTCTTCTCGCAGCCAAATGTCTGTTCCAATGTGGATCTGAAAAAAGCAATATATTTACACATTATATATTGCAAACAATTTTGAAACTTATTTAGTAATTGCATCAGTCAAGCCAATGTTATGTTATTGCCTCTAGCTGTATGACAATTGCGGAGCCTCTAAAGGCCGGGTCATCAAAAAGTATCTCGTGTGCACGATCAAGTCAACGGTTCGCCAAGTAGGAAGTGGAGCACACAGGACACAACCGTTTCATTGCAGACTGTTATGTTTACGTGGGGAAATGGCAGTGCATAGGGGTGTAGACAGGGGCGGACTGGGACTACCGGCCCATTTCGGTACCACCGGCCCACTTCAGTACCGGCCCATCGGGATTTGTCCCGAACGTCCCGATGGCCAGTCCGCCCCTGTGTGCAGATAGGGTTCGAGTTATGTGGGAGCCATGGGAGCTGAGCTCCCATAAGGACATAGTGAAATCATAGATCTGTGGGGGTCGCTAATAAATTAGGCCTACCAACAACCATTATTTTAATCACAAATAATGCATGTGTCAATGTAATGAGTATTATTTACGTTAACGAGGTAAATAGGCTAAAAGAAAAACATGTTTTCCAAAAGAACTATGCATCTCTTGAATGACAATATGCCTGCACTGCACCTCCATGGTGCGCAATGCATTATTGCGCAATCTATGTCTGTGAGCGTGCTGCGCGACACGCGTTAGTTTTAAAGACCCCCATAGAGCTCAGTTTATAACTTTTCTGTTAGTCCAATAACTTGCCAAAATGGTCACAAATGTATGCCATGCCTAACATACAAGTGTTGACATGCACACTACTGATTTAGACACCAATTTGGGATCGAGCAGAACAAGAACCTATGGAAAAAAGGTGTACCTTCCCATCCTTTTTTTCCATATGCCTTGGGCAATGGATCGGCTGATCGGGCTCCCTCTCTGAAGTTGTGTTTTGCCCTGGTGGTGTCAGTGGTGGAATGGCTGGCTCACAGGTTCGAGAGGTCACAGATCCTTCTCCACAGAATGTTGATGGTAACAAAATGACGGGGTAGCAGAAAAGGTTCAAAAATAGTATTAATTAATATTACACTGGATACCTAGTATGATTAACACAAGTAAAAAGTGTTGCAATGATAGCAGCCCTGTGAGACTGTAACACTTATTACACACCAGAATAAAATAGTGGATGAATGACAAATGGAGAGACAGTCCATAAGTGAGTGTTGCTCCCCTCCCTTAGTGAAATTAACAGTAAGGGAATTTCTATGAGTGGGAGTTTATATGTGGGCCCATCCTGATGAGCTAATTGTTTACAGCAACACATTTCAGTAGACTGCAGATCTTGTCTGTTTGTGTCTTTTTTTGAAGTATCTGATGAGTATTCTAATAAAAATAAACAGTTAGAAAAGCTAAATTGAACAAAAAGTACCATTATGCTTAAATAATTTGTCTGCAATTAGTAAAAACAATTGTACTCACTTTGAGAAAAGACCTCTTTCAGGAGTTTATCGATATTGTTTTGCAAAGTCAGGTAAATAAAATAAAATAAAAGGTAAATTACAAGATAAAATGATACAAAGCATTGAGTAACATTGATGTATTCAACTTTAACGTCAATGTCAGAAATATGACCCTTTCTTTTGTGTACAAATAAAAATAGCATTGGTTTTGAACTTTTTAGACCATTAAATACATAAGTAATAATACATTAAGTAAATGCTTAAAGTGCTAATGATAATTTTCCAAAGCAGTGTTTCCCCTCGGTTGACTACTTTGGTTTATGACATCAAACCCCGTTAAATAACTAATTAAAAACAAACTTATCAGAAAAATGAACACTTGGACAAACATCAGCGATAAGAACATAGGCCTAACAGAAACTATCTTTGGGAAAACATTTTTGACTATACCTTGATGTTTTAGTTAGTTTGGCTCATGTCCCATCCGCTAGCATATAGGAAATAAGTCAATAGCCTACTTTAACTAGGCTACTATACAGGGCCGCCCCTCCCTACAGGCCTATCACGCAGGCTGCATGGGGCCCCGCCTTGCGCAGGGGGCCCCGCCTTGCGCAGGGGGCCCCGCCCAGAGGGCCTCAGCTGCTGTGCGCAGTTCTCCGCTCAGTTCTCCGCACCCCCCGCGAGAGAGTGAGAGGTGACAAGGGGAGCACGTCTGTAACCCGACACCGTTGCAATGAATCGACATCTGACCAATCACGGCTTTGATACGGCCACTAGTGCAGGTGAAGAGATGTCGGTGAAAAGACAGTTTCATTTGGAATATTCCATATTTTAAAGCCTCAATCTGATGCATTTTGAGATGCATTTTTTTGCCAACCTGGGGAGAGCTGGAGAAACTTAACTTCAGCCATGAGTCAAACATATTATATTATTTAATTGTGTAGCAGTCAGTTTATAATTTTGGCAGCACTGTTGAGCATTTTGAAAATCTATTGTCATGCCTCTGTGCAAGGCTTAGTCTTTCTATCTTTATGGCATCTGGTGTAAAGTAACTACATTCATAAACTCAAGTACTATACTTGGGTACAATTTTGAGATACTTGTACTTTATTTAAGTATTTCAATGTTTTGCTACTTTGTTCTTCTTCTCCTCTATAGTTCAGAGGTAAATGGTGTACTTTTACTCAACTACATGTATTAATACCTTTAGTTACTTTACAGATGTGGATGAATGATGTGAAATCTAATCAAGTGTTGAATCAGACTTTAGTTCCACCTGGAGTAAATCCACCAGCTACCCTGCAGTATACAAAGTCATTCAAACTAGCTGCACCTTTACCAGCTTTGAGAACACTTTCATGATCAATCATTATAAAACATATCATATATATTATTCTGAAATGGACCAATCTGCACAACAACTACTTTTACTGTCTTTCACTATATTTTGATGAGAATACTTTTCTACTTTCACTTGAGGAACATTTTGAATGCAGTACTTTTACTAACAGAGTATTCCTACACTCTGGTACTTCTACTTTGAAACTGAAAAGTTTCTGGCACTTTGGGGCGGATCCACTGGACTTTGATTGGCAGCTGCAAGTAAGCCCGGAGTTGCCAGGTTTAATAAATGCCTGAACTACCAAGAGCCGAGGAGTGAGAGCTGCAAGATCAGTGGACGAGATTGAATGGTAAAGTTGTCCATAAAAAACTATTATATTCGTAAAGTGTACAGCTAATATATATATATATATATATAAATTAATTTTTATATAAAACAATATATTTTTGAGTGGGCTGTATCTGTCGAAAACTGCTACTATACTGTCTGCTGTATGCACCTCCCTTACGAAATGAACTATAGTATTACTATAGTATACTATAAGTATACCATTTTATTAGCTATAGTAGCCCTATAATATTTCAATAGTAATACTCTGTATCTAGAATGATCTTTGTAGTATTCCTATATTATTTTAAATAGTATAATATATAGTGTTTCTGTAGTTGTTTTTTAAACACACTATAGAACACTCCTAATAGCATGATATTGTCATAGTGAATGCATATTATTACTAAAGTATTACTATAGTGTTTTTGTTGGTGTTTCCGTATTAAGACTATATTATTTTAAATAGTACTACTATAGTATAATATATAGTGTTTCTGTAGTTGTTTTTTGAACACACTAGAACACTCCTATCGTAATAGTATGATATTGTCATAATGAATGCATATTATTACTATAGTGTTTGTAAAAGTATTGCACTCCTAGAATTAATGTCATTTTTTTATATCAAATGAATTGATATATATATTAGCTGTACACTTTACGAATATAATAGTTAGTTATGGACAACTTTACCATTCAATCTCGTCCAACTGATCTTGCAGCTGTCACTCCTCGGCTCTTGGTAGTTCAAGCATTTATCAAACCTGGCAACTCCGGGGTTCCCGGCAGCTGTCAATCAAAGTCCAGTGGCTCCGGCCCAAAGTGTCAGAAACTTTTCACGCACACGTAGACAGACTCCGCGAGCGAATGAGGCTGACACTCCCGCGAGGGAGCAAGAGGGCTGTCTCTCTCGCGAGCGCATAGCCGCTCGCGGGGGTGTAATCTGCGCGCGAGTCATTTTATGCGTGTGTAATATGGAATGCCATTTAAGCCAATATTAAATAAATAAATATATACATAAATAATTAAATAAATACATATATATATATAAATATGCCTATGAAATTAATTATAAAATAAATAAATTAGGCAATAAATATGTATACATGTACATTTAAATACACATTTATTTATTTCATGGGACTTTTATTTCATAATGACACATTTATTTATTTCAAGAGACTTGTATTTCATAATGACACATTTATTTATTTCAAGAGACTTGTATTTCATAATGACACATTTATTTATTTCAAGAGACTCGTCTTTCATAATGACATATTTATTTATTTCAGATGACTTGTATTTCATAATGACGCGTTTCTTTATTTCAAGAGACTCATATTTCATAATGGCTTATTTCATGTGACTTGTATTTCATGATGAGACATTTCCATTCCTTATATGCAAATGAACGGGGCGTGGTTAGCTCACAGGTCCAGAGACCCAGACCAAAGCAACAGCACCACACACACTGACTACTCGAGAAGAGGAAGAAAATGGAGGAGAAGGACTATAAGGCAAACTACTCAATTCTCAGAGTCAGACATCGCATGTAATCTGATACTCTAAATTTCACCCGCCAGAAATGTTCGCTTCTTCTTCTTCGGTGTAAATTGTCCGTTGGCAAACCAGTTGACTTCTTCTTCTCTCGGTTTTTTGGCGGATTGCAAACAACTTTAAGGTGCATATCGCCACCTACTGTACATGAGTGTGAATCATCATATCATTCCATCTCTTAACTCATGGACGTATCTATGATCTAATCCAAAAATAAATAAATTAGGGCTGTCAAACGATTACAATTTTTAATCAGATTAACCACAGTTTAAAAATTAATTAATCATGATTAATCACCGTTCGAACTATGTCCAAAATATGTCATTTCTTTATGTATATTGTTGTGGGAATGGAAAGATAAATGAAAGAAGGCGGATATATCCATTTAACATGTTTATTGTAAACAATTTCTGTGTGTCAAAATGAAAGAGAGCACCTATCAATCATCAAACCGTGGGGTCTTAATTCATTACGTATTGATTTCTATCTTACTTAGAAACTTCAGGAAAGTCGACTGGGGGGGGGGGGGGGGGGGGGGGGGGGGGGGGGGCGCTAGTGGAGTGGAGTACTTCGTGACCACAGAGGTGTGAACGTTGTGATCAGCTGTTTAGCGCAGTTCTCCAGTGAAGGGAGGAGTCTCCCTCCGCAGCCGGTTGGCGTAATTTTGGCACAGTTTCCGTTGTACAGACCGACGTTAACAGCAGCCCTGTCTGTGCACACGGAGACCGACTCTGTCGTCCGGTGATCTAACCGCCTTCTGGAAAAGCTTCACAAGTACGTCGGTACGCAAATGCGCTTTGTGACACAAGTGACGGTACGCATTTCAGATTACGCACATAACCTGCGTACCAGTTATGTGTTACCTGTACTACAGCTAAAGTATTCTCCGTCGGGACTTCCTGCAACAACACCACGCCGTTATCTTGATTCTGATTGGCCAGAAGACATTATCAAAGATGTTCTATTGGGAAGACGATCACTACGTGACAAAAGTTTTCAAAACCGTTTCTGGTCTTCCGTATTTCCAGACAAGTGGCTGCTGAAATCAATCTTACTAACTGCTGTCTGTGCAATTTACTCCGCGCGAGTTGGCGGACTTTATTTTGCTTACTTTAACATCATTTTTCATGGTGGGGCTAAGCCATTTCTTGGTATGGGTGTAGCCTACCCCAGCCATACCCTGTCTTTATAAATATTTGTCTGCTGGCATACCAGCAGACCAGCATTTATCTATCACCAGCTTATGTTAGTATTAAATATACAATGTATTCTGGTAACTATCAAAATAAAGACATTGTATAGTGTTCATAACAGTATTTTTATTTAATAAATTATACTTAATACAATAATATTACAAAAAAAACCTACATCTAAATAAATATATCATCTAAAAAAGATGCATTTGATTTAAAAATAACAAATATAATTCAAAATGTAAACAGCAACAAAGAAATTATAAACATTTTTTTTCTTTTTCTTGTTAATATCCATTATCTTCTCTGTTATGTATCTTCCGGTCTTTGCCAATCTGGCCAGCATTTCTTGGTCTTCCACGTCTTTCTCGTGCAGCCACTGCTTGAAGCAAACTGAAAATAAGAAACAACAATGTTTTAACAAATCTTATTCAATTATGTGATGATAGAACTGCAAACAGAATAGCTGTAACTTTAACAAAATAAATAACTCAGTTACCTCTAATCATTAACCCATGTTTGTATCATTGAGTTAACTCTGTGTGTTGCTGCTAGCATACATAATATATACCTGACGTGGAAACGTTACTCGTGGATGGGGCTACAGAGCTACTAGAAAGACAGTCGAACCCGGTGCATTCCTCCGTCTGAATGTGGAGCACTTTTGCTAAATGTTTAGACAAATAGCTTGTGTTACTGCCCTTACATGCTAAATTCTTATTGCACTATTGGCAACGAGCATTTTCCACCTCAAGACCAAGCCCCCAGGAAGTGTGCCGGACTCTGAGGAAAATATTCGTTGTGTCCAAACGGCGGTACTACAATTTCCTTATCAGTCTGTGACGTCGACCGGCCCAGAAATACTTTTTCCCATTGACTAACATTGGGAAAGAGACATCTGTAACTCGGTGGATAATTTTTTTGAAACTAAATAAACTACCCAGTATGAACTATTGTATAGCCCTAGAATCATTAAGTTCTTAAAGTTGTAAAATGCACTAAAAGCCGAATCTAGATTTATTCTCTCTCTCCATTCTTTCTAGTGAGCCGAGAGTGTGTGCTCGGGGGGCGGGGCTTAAGGGGCGCATGCTCTGTGAGCGCACAAACGGGTTATTCTGCTCTGACAGCCAGGCATGCTGGGTAATCTGTGACGTTTCGCTCTCTCAAAAGTTGGGCCATTTTGACTTCATGCGCCAATGAGCAGCTCTCATAGGAAAGAACGAGGCCCCTCCTCCGATGCTGTATCCAGTTCTTATTAAACATCCATGCTCAAGACGGGTAACATAACTACCCTCGGGGCACTTAGTTCTCTCCGCCATGTGTTTGTGTGCGCACGTGTGTGTGTGTGTGTGTGTGTGTGTGTGTGTGTGTGTGTGTGCGCACGTGTGTGTGTGTGTGTGTGTGTGTGTGTGTGTGTGTGTGTGTGTGTGTGTGTGTGGTGTGTGTGTGTGTGTGTGTGTGTGTGTGTGTGTGTGTGTGTGTGTGTGTGTGTGTGTGTGTGTGTGTGTGTGTGTGTGTGTGTGTGTGTGTGTTGTGTGTGTGTGTGTGTGTGTGTTGCATGCATGTAGCAGGTTCTGTGTGTAAACTGCCCCACCCCCTCGCACACCGACAGGGGAGAGAGATCTCGTCTGGATTGGAAAGATCGAAAATAAATCATAGACGCACTTTGTAGTCTTATTGCATATTAGAAACGGAGTTGCAGTAAGACTGCGATATAATGTTTATGTAGATATAATACATATGACATCTATTTTTTAAATGTCTCCCGTAACGATAAAAAGATTGATAACATTGGACGTTAACGGTACCACGGTCTTTAATAATTCAGCCCCGGGGCCCGTTAATACTGGGGCTCGGTACCCATCCCTAGTTTTAATTATTACATCATCAATATTACATTTCAAATAACCAAGTACTTGGTTACCAACACAAAGCGCAAGTGGCTAGTGCTGCTAAGAACATACCTGGTGATGGTGATGATAGTGGCTCTTCGCTGCAGGATCTGGTCGATGTCCTCCTAGCAGAAGCGATTGCCTTCGTCGTTCTTGTCCATGATGGCAGCGTAGGCTCCTTTCCTCAGCAGGTCCTCGATCTCCTTCTTGGAGAACTGCTGGACCGGCTAAAGGCGACGCAGAGAGACATTTACACAAGTGGATTTAGAAAACTCTTTTTGAAAATAAACTAAGCGTACTGCAACAGCGACTGACCCAAAAATGACTTGGCATCTAGAAATATGACAGATTTTCTTTTTCTCACCCCGTTGTTGTTGCCACTCATGCTCTGCAGGACGGGACGGGACTAGCTTTATCCAGCATTTCCCTCTCATAGTTTCTAGTGATCAGACAGTACACCTCCACCGCCTTAGACTGGCCAAAACGATGACGAACCGAGCTTGAGCCTGAAATAAAAAATGAAAAGAGGGGTCAAAAGAGCATCATGTGCAGCTGCTGTTCAACGTTTTTAAGCATTAAATGGGAAAATAATATACACTTAAAGAACCGAGGGAATAAACGGAAAGACTGTTGTTGTTGTAGCCCTATTGAACTATCTTTAGGACGGACAGAGCAGATATATATATATATATATATATATATATATATTGTACCTGCAGGTCATTTTGAGGGTTCCAGTCAGAGTGGAATATCACACAGGTGTCTGCAGCAGTGAGGTTCACAAGCTCTTGATCAGGTGTTTGATGTGGGCTGGCATGATCCTTTCTGCAGCGATGAATAAAGAAAACAAAGAAGACATTATTAATAATAGTAACAACAATAATATTAGTATAACTATTTATATAGCACTTACACAATAATTGCAAAGTGATTCTCACAACAAAAATAAAGAACAAAACAATAAAAAAACTAATTATTATAGGAATGTTAAAATACAAATAAATGATAAGCATTCTGAGAGACCGACTACAAAAGGTAGACTCAGACCCCGGCCACACGAGGACGAAAACGGCTAAACGCATAGGATTAACGCAAACGCAATCGCAAACAAGCTTCCGTCCACACGCAATAGTTATCCGGATAGTGTCTGCCCACACGAGACCGCTCCGTTTAGCTCCAACCGCTGGAGAAGCTGCAGTACATGCAGGAACCTGTACGTGGCGCTGTAACTTCCTCTACAAAAGCAGCGAAGAAGCATGGTTGTCATGGTTGCCCTTCTGTTTATTCTCCGCGGTGGGGGCCGAGGGAACCGGGCAGAGTTTTTCGCCAGTCAACGTGAATTAAAGTTTAAACCTTCCGACAAAATTATAAAAGTGCCGGTCAAAGGTCTTCTTTGTTATTTATTGAGCTTTAAAACAAATGAATAACGACTCTATATAATATAATAATAAAAATACACGGAGCCTCTCTTTTTCCTCCCTCTCTTCGGACAGCGTCAGTGTCTGTTTCATGCAGCAGCTGATCCAGTAATGAGTGACCCGGCCGACAGTAAAAATAAACATATTTATAACTAGTTTAGGTAGTTTGAGAGGTGTCTCCATCCTGTCAGATTAGACTTCACTCGCGTTTATGTCCATATCGAGAGAAAGATAAATAATCTGAATTCAGTGTGCAGTTTACTTTGACGCGGGGGTGAGCAGCAGAGGTGGGGAGAGGCGGGGCTATTGCGCAATCATTATCAGAAAATGATCGCTGAAGCTGCAGTACATATCCACAAAAGCAGCGAGTAAGATCGCCCCCGGATGTGTAAGTCTGCTGTAGATGTTGCACAAAGAACTGTAGCATGGTCAGTAGCGTCCGGAGCACGATAGCAACTCTGCGATCCGCCATTGTTGTTGTTGTTGGTGGCGAAACACATCAGCAATGGCGCGGGGTACGCGGAGGTGAGCAGCAGAGGTGGGGAGAGGCGGGGCTATTGCGCAATCATTATCAGAAAATGATCGTATAGGGCGCACACACGGAGCTGTTTGACCCCCCAGAGCGTTGCGTATGCCGTTCTATCCACCTTGGGACCCGTTATCGTTTCCTCAGTCGTTTAGTGCCGTATGCAGTCGTCCTCGTGTGGCCGAATGGTCTATATGACACTAAACAGTAACGCAAACGGCCGTTTTTGTCCTCGTGTGGCTGCAGCCTCAATGGCTCTTGATGACATCAATGAGCAGTCCCAAAACATGCTGCTGTATAAAAAGAAATAGGTCCAGATTTCTTCTATTTAGTGTTGGATGATTTGTTGTATTGATTGCTGATGGATGTTAAGATATGTTTTACAATTATAACAAAAAGATTATTGTAATTGGAATCAAAAAGTTTACAAATCGTAGTTTTAATAAAATGACTAGCAATATAAGATTTATTCAACAGCGGTAAAGTATTAAGTTACTAAATTAACGTACACTGAACTGTAAAACTTACCACTATTTAGGAAAGGACCTGATCAGAAGGATTGACTAGTAAGACAGCAAAGAGGCGGAGGAGGTCTCTGTCATGTACAACCATTGGTAGATGTTACACCTGAAAGAAAGATAAGGAAATAAGACAACACAGGAGGACAAACATCTTCTTAAGTAAAAGACCAAATCATGTCAAGCTTTAACTTGAGGCTGTTTTTTCAGTCTTTACAATGCACAGTTGGAAATTACATTCCAAAAGCTAAATTCAAACTCAACACCATAAATAACTGGGTACCAAAGTGCTTTACCTGATAGGACACGTTCCACACGGAGCAGCAACCATCCGGCTGGGCCGTATGCTGCATATCATCTGCTCCCTCTCCACTGTTTCCAGTAGATCTCTACTGCCTGTCCAATACAACTGAAATGCCCCAAAACAATCATATTTCAAAAGTTAAAAACAATAACTTGCTTTTGGCATTCAAATGTATTATAATCTCACCTTTTTCCTGGATGTCAGGAAGGCGTTCCCTTCAAGTCCGCAACCAGTCATAGGAGTTCAAATGCAAAGCCTGAAAGATGACAAGAGCGGGAGACTTACATGTTACAAGATAAGTAATACCAGAGCAGTGTTTAGGACATGCAGAGAACAGATCAAATCCCCTGACAGGCTCACACACTTTGGTGATGTCCTCATCTGATAATGATGTTTCATTTTTAGCAGCAAAGTAACATTACTCAAGGTATATGTTGGACCCAACTCATGTACAGTATGTTTTGCATCTCCTCAACAATGGTCTGTATAGTTGAGTAGAAACAAACTGTCCCTACAGTTTCAGGTAGATTAACAAAGAAAAGTTTTCAATGAAGCACAAAACCCCTCTTTGTATTAAGCTAGCTGCCACAAAAAGTACAGCTTAACATGCTAACCTGGTGGAGTTAGCTAACGTTAGCTAAATAAATAAATGTGTATTTAAATGTACATGTATACATATTTATTGCCTAATTTATTTATTTTATAATTTATTTCATAGGCATATTTATATATATATATGTATTTATTTAAGTATATATTTATTTATTTAATATTGGCTTAAATGGCATTCCATAGTGTAAAAGCACATTTTCCGCTCGTGAGTAGCTTGTTTTATGCGCTAGAATATTGACCCAAATCTGACTCCATACATACCGTCTTCTTTTTTAAGCCATCTTTTTCGGCGGATGTCCCTTCATTGTTCTCCTTCATAACGCCTTCTTCGTGATGGATCTTGGGGACTCTTATCCTTTTTTGAGGATTCACAGTTGACTCCTCAATCTCTTCTCGGGTTTCTGTTAAAAGGTGAGTGAAAATGTAGTAAATGTTAAGCGTCTGTGTTAACTTGATAGCTATCTTATGCCGCGTTTCCACTGCAGGCCTCGCTCGGCCATTTGACTGCGCTTCCATTACAGTTTAGGAACCGGGGTAGTTTATGGCGCGTTTCCACTGCAGCGGGGTAGCCCCGTTTAAGCGTCCCTAAGCGTCCTCGCTCTGGCCTCGGGCTGCCTCGCTGGCCGGCCCAGGCCGTGGCGCATTTCCATTACAGTTTAGGACCTGGGGTAGCAACGCAGTGTAGGCGGGGCGATCGGCTTTGTTTTTGTTCACATTTCGAGTTGTTCCGTCGAGCTCCCGCTGGATTTGATCATCCCCAATGAGATGTAGGAACGTCGTCACCTCCTCGGTCGACCACGGTGTGCTTTTCTTATTAGACGTAGCCATTTTTGTAGCTCATCCGTTTACAAAATGCTGTTTATAAAAATGCTGCAAGCTTGCTTCTAGATATATATGCGACGCTAGGGATGAACTCGTGCGCAATCTTGTGACGATTCTCTCTGACCAATCAGCAGTCGAGAGTGTTGACGTCACTAGTTCAGCCCTGGCCCTGGTCTGAGGGAACCACGATTTTATGAGGCCGGAAAAAGAGGGAAAAAGTACCCGCTGGCCGGTACTAGGCTATATGGAAACGCCACCAAAAACCGGCCTGGCCGCTTGAGGACGGTTAAGGACGCTTAAACGGGGCTACCCGCTGCAGTGGAAACGCGCCATTAGTTACTATAGTAACGAGTAATCTTATTAGCATACAAGTACTGGCTAGTCATTTAATTAAGCGAACGTTAGCTTGTTCAGAAAATAAATAGTTATTATGTCACTTACCTTTCACTAGGAGAACCTGACCGTTGAAGTATTCGTTTTCCCAAATAATTTGATAAAGAATATCTCTTTGGTAGGTTTTTAAATCAAAATGTTTTATGAAAGAAATTGGGACAACTGCTTTGTAGCCGTCAGTGTATTTAACATACGCAAACATCTCTAATGTCTAATCTTGTTTTCGCGCCTCTGTCTCAGAAAAGAAAAAACAACTGCTCTTTGATTGGTCTTTTGTTTGACCAATGACCCCCGGCCTTTGATTTGTTATCGTTACGTTGCTAAATACACTTATATGGGCTTCATCCCAAACGTGTGTACATATGAATAGTGGACATACTGCTGTTAATGCATTAATGCTGATGTTTTTTTAAAGGTCTATAAGTTATGGATTTATGGAGAGTACAATTGGTTAAATAAATAAACAATATTAAGAGGCAAAAATACAAACCTAACGTTATAACATTTACTGCACTGACAATACATACCTGACTGGTGCTGTAATCTTACCATGTTGCTTCCTGATTTCTGTCTTCAAACATCATTTTGTGGGATTTTTGTCAATCAGATCAGATGGTGTGCTCACTGACATCCAATCAGTGAGCACTTCATGATCCAGATGATAAGAGACACCACAATTTGAGTGTTCCTTTACACATGATATCGTACATGTTAGATTAGAAGGCCAAATGTAGAAGGATTTTGAAGATGATGTTCATGCAACATTATTTGACTGTTTAGATGTCAACACGAATATACAAAGATTACCTGGAGCCTTGCAGTAGCTCAGAAATACCAAGATCTACACGAGACAATAACTGAGGTATGTATCCTCAGTGTACATATGGCATAATTGTTTTTCATTTTATCCTGATCCTCCATCTAATGTCTTTCTTGAGTTGTTATATTTACCAATGAATATATTGGTAAGATATATGCTCTTTAATGAGTGATATAAAGTATGTGATGCCATGGTTTGTGTAATGTGTTTGTCATGTCTTATAACAAGGATGAGACGCCAGCAGATCATTTGATACATGATAGTGACGAAAGTGACAATGAGAGATGGCAACATGCGATTGAGGTAAATCTTTTTGAATACATTTTTGCTGTACTTACCTGTACTTAAAGTGTATCTGAACTTGAATACTTTAAACGTATATCAACTTTCTCTAAAAGAATCAGGTCTCTTCAGAAAATGAGAGTCTGCAACTTGGGATCGAAGTACTCTCAAAGTACTACCACCATGGTTTTGCATGGTTATTCAGTTGCCATTAGTGGAAGTTGTCTTGTATGTGTTACACATTGCTTTTCTTTAAGTGTATTTCATCTCTTGATAAGGATGATGCCGACTCAGATGATTCATTACAGTCAAGAGAAGAAAGTGGACATGAGAGAAGGTGGCCTGCAGCTGAAGTAAATAACAGTTGCATTACCTGTATTTTCTGACTAGAAAAATACTTTTTAGTTGGCTGGAGGGTGTGTATTATGTATATTTGGCGCAAATGTAATGCAGTTAATTGACTTAATGCAACATTTCAGACTGAATAATGTTATCTTAGTAGCATGTTGAGCACTGCCCAGACAGTCAGCACTTTAATTTCAAGTCTTGCAATTTAACTAGCTACTAGAGTCCAAAATATTTAATACAAATATATGAATTATATTATTTATAACTTTTGGCAAATTAAACGTGGTATACAAACAGAATAATAGGGCTGCAGTCGTCCAGTTGCCAACTATTACATTCATAGAAAACTATTTTGATAATTCATTTATAATTTTGAATAATTTCTTTAAAAAAATCAAAATCCAAATACTCTGATTCCAGCTTCTCAAATGTGAATATCTTCTGGTTTCTTTAGTACTCTATGACAGTAAAGTCAATATATTTGGGATGAGGTCTCTTAGTCAGGAGAAGATAAGACATTTGAGGACGTCATCTTGGATTTTTGGAAACAGTGCTCAACATTTTTCACACTTTCTGACATTTTATGGACCAAACAACTATTCACTTTATCAAGACAATGATCAACAGATTAGTCGATAATGAAAATGATAGTTGCAGCCCTACAACATTGTCAACTCTGTGTCCATATATTACTTCCGCCTTATCATGGTTTATACTTTATGAAAGTAAGCTGATCAGTCTAATATACTAACGATAGTTTTTTCAAAAGGAACACGAGGTCTCTTCAGATGAAGTGTCACAAGTGGGAGATCAGACTGCACATGAAAGTCAGCATACTGTGATTGAGGTACATTCTCCATTTTTGTAGTCGAATCACTATGTGTGGCTACACTGTCTATATGCTGCACGTCACTGTGTGCGTGACGTGAACGATAGTGTGGCTATGGGCGGAACATTTCACCAGCAAAAAATCTGATATGTGAGACAGATCTGCCAGTCACTGTTAGCCGATCAGCTGAAAACCGGCCTTTTTAGATCAGTGGCCAGTGGTCGTTGTTACGCATGTGCAGTAGCGTCTGATATACAAGGAACTGCTCTACTGAGGTTTATTTCTCTAAAGCTGTTCCAATGTTTAGCCATTGCCTTCTTGGTGAAGGAACATGTCACCCAGTGCAGAGGTGTGTCTCAATGACATGTTTGTAATAGCTTTTGGGGAGCAACGGAGGTCTACAGTACAGAGGAATAAAATATATCAGGCTTTGGGTACACACACAATACTTGTAAGTGGGATCAATTCATTGTTGGTTTGGCTGCACATAAGATTTGTTGACAAAATAAAAATATAGAAGATCAACAGATTTATCCTTTAAACCACCAACTTCAGAAATAGTTCCAAAGTAAATAGTCAGCATAGTGGATCCATGATTAAGGAAGAAGCATGAATTAACGTTGTATGAAAATGTTATGAAAGTTGTGAAAATAGTGTTTAATATGTCGCTTTTCTTGCTAGGCTTTGACTTCATCAGATGATGATGTAGACACATTGCAAGAGAGCATGTCATCAAAAGAAGATTCAGAGTCACAGGAAGATATCAACATGGACTGTTCAAATGATCCATTTGGAAATGGAGTAAACAGGGACATGGACAGACCTCTGGTGGCCACAGGTACAACATCAAGGGCTGAGGCATTACTGATGATCATGACCTATGCTGCAAGGCATCAAATAACTGGATCTGCGCTTGATGATTTGCTTAAACTTATAATCACTTGTTTGGGCAAGATGTTGTACCAGGGTCAAAGTATGCCTTTAACAAAGTGTTTCAAAATAACATGGATAAAGTCGACTTTCATTTGTACTGTAAGGCCTGTAAAGCCAATTTGGGAAGTCAAAAAGATGTTAGAGAACAGTGTCACACAGTGTTCAGGATGTAATTCACCAGTTGACCCAACCACCCTTAACAATGGGAGCTTCTTGATCAGTATCCCAATAGCCCCCCAGATTCAATACATTCTGCAAAATCCAGAGCTACAGAGCAAATTGAGCTACAGGGTGGACAGGCCAAGCAAAGCAGAACACATGATATCAGACATTTATGACGGTGACCTGTACAAAGCACTGTCAGCACCAGGTGACATCTTATCAGATCCTAACAACCTGTCATACACGTTCAATTCAGATGGGGCACCTCTTTACAAGTCCTCCAAATGTTCCATCTGGCCCATTCACCTCAATGAGCTGCCACCAAACACTAGGTTC